ATGCCTCGGGAGGTAAAACGTTACAGCCTGTTGGTGATGTAAAGGGCCGCGTCTGTGTTATTCTGTTGGGTATGTGTGACACAGGGCAAAAAATTGAAAAGGCATGTGAACTTCTCCATGCCCTGGGTGCAACAAAGATAACTGCATGCTGTACGCATGGTATTTTGACCCCACCATGTCCACAACGCCTTAATGACTGTGATGCTCTTAGTGAAATTGTCGTTTCCGACTCTATTCCACAGGAGGAGCACCTCCGCCTCATTCCCAAGTTGAAGGTCCTTACGATTGCTCCACTTTTAGCCACTGCCATTAACATGCACACACGGGATGAGTGCATCAGCGCTCTCTTTGATACCCCACCCCATCCCGTGGAAAACCAGCTGCCACCACCACCACCACCACAAGTACTCAGCTCCCAATCGGTTCATTGAGAAAAAAGAAAGAGAGGGGGAGAGGGAAGCCACATTAAAAAGCCGAGCGAGCGAGGAAACAAAAATACAAAAAGCAAAAAAAGAAAAAAAAAAAAAAAAGAGAAAAGAGAAAAAGAGGACAAGTCACACGCACACAAAAATAAATATACATAGAGAATGAAAATGAAAGCAAAAATGGAATAAAAATAATATATATATATATATATATATTCGGTAAATGGGATATCAGGGTACAATAATGTTGTTGCGCCTACCCGCACTATTGCAGTAAACCTCTTCCCTCCCAAACAACAACAACAACAAGAACAGCGGTACAACGAAGAGAAATCCTGTGACATTGATCCAACAAAAAAATATAAAAAAAAAAAAAAGCAAAATGAAGCAAAAACGAACAGAAAAACCAAACAAACAAAAAACATGTTTACTTCATTTCCAATGCTTTTTTTTTTCCTCTCTATTTGTTTGTGGGAACTTTTTTCTTCCCCATTCATTTGGGCCGAATCGGCCATTTGTTTTGGTAGTGGCAGGTGGCAAAGAGAAACAATAATAATAATAATAATAATAATAATAATAATAATAATAATAATAATAATATAAAACGATAAATCAAAAGGGAGAGCGGGGAATGTCCTCCGCAGTGACGCTGCGCGAGTTGGATACCCTTGAGAGGGCAGACCAGCCGCTGCTGGAGCGATTTGAGCGGTGCCGCCACGACGTGGTTCGTGTTTCTGCCAGTTCCATTTTACAAGATTGCATCGCCGTGACGACAAAAGGCGGCTTCGTGGAGCTTATCAACATTGACACCGGCGCCTTTCGTCTGTTTCTCAGCCATTTGGGCGATACACCGCTGGAGTCACTTCTGCGGTGTTTTTCCCTTGTGCCATCCCTCTATGCCGCACGAGGCAGACATCACCTGCTTTACTCGCTTGCATACTCAAATGAATTGCTTCTGGCTGACATGGAACAGGGTACGGTGGAGGTCCTTGCGAGATTTCACAGTCGCCCCAGTGTGGTTTTTTGCGATGGGGATTATATGGTGTGCGGTGAGGGATGTGGGCAGGTGACACTTTGGCGGGCTCCATGTGAAGCGGCGGGGGCAAAACTTTTCTGGCGCCGACCGGTATTCAGTGACACAGTCCTCTGCATTTCCGTGCAGCGCGATTATATATTTTGCTCATCAGCAGACTACCACTTTTATGTTCTGACAATTGAGTCAGGAGAAGTTGTTGCCGCACTTCCACACGAGCCATCACCAGCAGTCGCCATTCAGTCTGCTGCCAACTCGCAGGTGAGTCACACCCTTACTGTGTTGTGTTTACCAGGTGTTCTCTCCGTATATTCCCCACCGCCAGCTCAGGAGGATGTTTCGGCGGCTACAACAATTGCTAATTCTACATGGATCTGTACTGCTTTGCTACGTCTTGACGTGCAAATCAGCTGTGCAAGTTGCTGTGCAGGGCTCATGGCATTGGGTACGGCCTCTGGTGTAGTCCTTCTTGCGAGTATGATAACAACAAACGGCGAGGCTGTGGAACGTGTGCGATTTGATGTTGGTTTCTCCGTCATTGGTATTCAGATATTTAAAAACGGAGAACTGGTGGTGGTAACGTCCGCCGGAGATGTGTGGAAGTGGACCATAGAGGATCTACTTCCACGGGAAGCGGATATGATGGAGGGACAAGAGGAGGAAGAAGAAGAGGAGGTAGAAAACTTGTTTGTACCGCAGCCACACATGCGGCCTCCAGACACCAGATGGGTGAAGACGACAACGACAGCAGAAGCAGAAGCAGGAGCAGCGGGGACGGCGACGTCTGGCGACCGAGTGGGGATGGGTGATGAGGAGGAGATTGTGGTTGAGGTGGGAGACGAGGCCTCTTCAAATTCCTCTGCGTTGTGGTCTGAATCGTGTCACCCGGTGCAGCTAGAGAAAAGCACGGCTGGTTTAGGCAACCCGACTGGCGATGGAATAACAGAGGGGAATGCCGTCCCGTTACTGCGGTCTATTTCTCACAGTGAGAGGACGATTCATGTAAACCCTATTCATATTAGTAGTAGTACGAAGAGTACGGATACCGCCACCGCCGCTGCTGTGGTTGCCCATGGCGATACGGCAACGGAGGATCATGTTATAGCCGTGCGTGGCGTTGATAAATCCGCATCGGTGGCCGTTATTTCTGTCAATACGGATGAAGAGAAGGACGAGGTGAATCATAGCGTTGATGATGATCATGATGACGAGTATTCTGAGCATTCGTTTCAACCCAGCAGCATCAGCATTGTGGCCGGTACAATTGGTGCGGCGGATGCTGCGCGGAGTGTTATTCTTGCGCCGCTGCAAATTGAACCCAATATGAACTCTCGCTCCGTGCCTCATGTCGCAGCCGCCACCCCCACCACCATTACTCCTACTACTACTAATACTACTCCTTTCAATGCGGATCCTTCTGCACACCGGGATGGAACGCAACTGCATCAGGAAGACGGGGTGGTTGTGACTGCACAAAAGGCGAAGGACGCTCCTTTTCCACCCGTTTCCACATCTTCTGCGTGTTCTCGTGCTCTGAAGTGTTTGCTACGCGGGACCGAATTGGGCCCGCCTGCAGTCATTAGCGGGCTACGAGCCGGCAAGCGCATGGATCCAAGGAAGGCACGTCATATTGTTGAGAACAGCTGTACAGATGCCGCGGCACTGCCAGAGCCGGAGAGCCAGAGCTCAAGGATTTTGGTTGACCATCGCCAGGCCTTGGAAGAGGCAAAGTTTGACTACGCAGAGTACACCAAGACACATTTGTTAAAGGCAGAATCATTAAAGTACCGTTACCCGGTAAAACTCCCTGTGCACGGGCTACATACACATTTGTTTGCCGCAGCGGTACCTCGCCTGCAGGACCGCCCTAATGGGAATATGGAGAGTGCAGAGGATGGTGATAAACGCAAGAAACGACGAAAGCAACAACTACAACAAAAGCAACAACAGCCCATTATAGATGATTTAATGAACGCGACCTTTCAGAATTTTACAAGGCGGAAAGATGCGGCACTTGAGGAGGAGCGTCTTCGCAGTGGCCCTGACATTCAGCAACACTTCTGTGACAGTTTGCTTTTTGGCCCAATGGATCCCAGTGGCACTGTGTTATTTGAGGAGACTCGCCTGCAGCTGGCCGTACCTAAAATGCTCTTTCTTCCTATGCCGCTGCCTCCCACACCGTCGGTATTCTGATAGGCGCAAAAGATGATATATATATATATATATATATATACATAAATACATGTACACCATAGAGAAAGTTTTCTCTCTCTCTTTTTTTTTTTTTGCGTGGGTCTGACCGCATCGTATCCAAAAGAAGAAAAGACACGCATTTACGATGACATCCCTTTTTTCCTGTTTTTTTTTTTTTTTATTTCTTGTTTTTCTCTCTTTATTTACAGAACCCTTTTTTTTTTTTTTTCTTAAAGAAAAAAAAAACATCTATGTGGGGATATATGTTCTTGTTTTTCTTGCTTTTGAAAATCTCCCAACTTCTTTTCTTTTTTTTCTTTTTGCTTTCTGAATGTCTTACATTGTTGTCTTTTCGTCAAAGAAAAGCAAAAAAAAAAAAAAAAAGGAAAAGGAGTGAAAGAGGGACAGAAGAAAGTCAATATATATATATATAGCAGGAGGGAAAGGGGAGAGTAAAAGAAGAGGCGCGTGCGAACAAATGGCCACAACGGGGGATGAGTTGCGGTCGCTTGTGGAGCTTGTATTTCGGCAGCGCCACGAGGAGGTGTTGACATGTGAGAGTGTTGTCGTGATTGGGCGTGGGGCGTCCAATAAGGGATCGAAGGCACGTCTACTGGCGCTGTGCCGTCCCTTTGCACCTTCCACGTCATCGTCTCCATCGTCTGTATCGCAGACAACATTGAATGTTGTGCGAGTGGAATCAGGGCGTGTGGTGAAGGTGAAGTTAGTGTTTGTTGTGGCACGCCTTGTGGATGTGAGCCATGACGGCAGTTTTGATGCTACTTTTAATTTTGGCGGGAGTGGCATGATATCCGTTGCCTTCGAGTCACACATTCAACGGGAGATGTTCGTTGCGGCTGTTCGTAAAGTGCAACGTGACCTGCAGCCACATGTAGCGACCGTCTCGAGGGATGTGCGGGCATTGTTGACCGATGCACTGGGCGCCGAGGTGGAGGCGGACGCTGCGGCTCGTGTGAAGAGTCTGCGGCATGAGAAACGCCGTGCTCTGACTGCGGAGGATGAGCAGCGGCTGCAGCATTTTCTTGGGCGACACGGTTTTGATGACATACGAAGCACAGAGAAGTCCCTGTCCATGCGGCAGAAGGAGGCGGAGTTGTCGTCTGTGGAGGTACTTCTGGCGTCCGTTGGTGCATGGGAGGTGGTGCGCTCCCGCATTG